TGTAGAGGGGGGGGGGGGGGGCTTATGCATATTTATTCACTCACCGAGCATGAACCATCTTGTTATATTTGCAGTTCCAAGCATTCGACTTTCGGACAACATCAAGGAATGAGCCTTTCTTGCAGCTTTTCCATTGCCTGTATGTATATCCCTTGACAGTTAGCATTAGTAGAAAAAGGAATTTGTTTATACGGGTTGAACTGAGGAAGGACGATGTAGATATCCGCAAACCACCTCCAGAGGTAAGTTGCATTAGCTATGCTCTTGAAGCAATTGGTAGAATGGATGTGTTGCTTATTTTTATTATTGAACAGGCAATGCATCCAAGGGAACCCGGCGCTGCACTTCAGAAATGGGCTCATACTCAAGTTGCTGTTGGGGCTAGGGTTGCTTGCTACCATGATGAAATCAAAGTTTCTCTTCCTGCTGTTATGACCACGATGCACCACCTCTTGTTCACTTTCTTTCATGTTGACCTTCAAACAAAACTAGAAGCTCCAAAACCTGTAAGTGCAATGATTTTTATTTGCTTTAGAGTATATGCCACAGGTCTGCCATTCACTGCTCCTTCACTTTTTGAAATGAGAAAATAAATAATATCCCAGTTAACTCTTATACTTGATTTCGAGTTCATTTTCTTGCATATCTGCTATAATTCATATTTTGTGACTGTGTTTTCTGATACCTTTTGATATCATTCTTGTTTTTGAGAATTGTAGTTTTTTATTTTTATTGCAGGTGGTGATAGGATATGCTTCTCTACCCTTATCCACCCATGCACAGTATGTGTTAAATAGCTCATATCTGGTGTCTTATTTTACAGTTCCATGAAGATTATATTATCATTGTTGTCACTTTACCTACTGCTACCGTGATTATATCATCTTCACTAATCATACATGTAAATGCTGTAGTGGTGAGACACATGGTATAACTTACTTTTGATGCTGCTAATACAACTAGTTACATTACATTTGATTACTGTAAATGATTTAAATTGATTGCAAAACTCAAATATGATTTTCAAAGTTTGTGAGGTTAGGTTGTAAAATTTTTCAAAGTTTCTAACCATATTTTGCAGAAACAATCATATCTCATATGGCAATGTTATGCGCAAAAGACGAAAGCCCGACAATGATGATTTTAATTAGTTATTCAAATTGATTATTCCATATTAAAAGATGGCAAGTAAAGTTTGGTATTTATACATACAGATGAATTATGATTTTTTCCCAAAAATTATGGAAAATATCAACCTAATACCAGGATGGAAAATAAATATAAACTCATATGGGTATGATAAAAATGGAAATGAAAAGTTCAGAATAAGAATGCATCTTATTTTCCAGATAATAGTTTATATAATGTTTGAATGACAATTATATACACTACTTCTGGGATTTTCTAGGAGCAATCATGCAGAGCTGGGCTTTTTATTTGAAATCTTCATAAATTATTGTCAGCAATTTGATTGGATTTTTAAACATACGAAATTTCGACATGACATAATGCATTTTGATGGTCAAATGCAGGTTAAAATCTGAAATTTCATTGCCCATTATGAGTGAATTGGTTCCGCAGTATCTTCAAGATAGTGGCAGGGTATGTTTCCGACAGCAGCTTGATTCTGTTTATATATATTAGTGATTTCTCTTTTGGTTTTTCTAGAAATGTCAACCTTGTGCAGTCTCCTATTCAGCAACCGAAAGAAAACATTTTATTTTATGGTCGATTAAGTTCCTCAGTTAGTCCCATCTTCTCCCTCCCTTCTCTCCAATTAAAAGAAAATGTCAGGCTATGGGCAGGGACAAACAGAAGTGCATGAACTGTTGTTGAGAAGTGGGAATCTCCAACTGAATTAGTCATTGGCTGGTGTATGTACCTATTCAGTTTGTTTAGTTGCAAGTTCGATGTTTATATATTGTTATCTTTGGGTTATGATTGTTCGGTCTATTTACCATGACAGAGGGAAGGAATGAAGGAACGAGGGTCATAAAGTAGGGGCACTGAAAATTTACAATAATGCTCCTTGTTCATCTTTTTCCCTTACATTGAGGATGCATCCTCTTTGTTTCCAAAGAACAGTGGGCGGGAAATTTTTTATTAATTTTTTAACCGTCAAATCATGTGTTGTCACGTGGCATAATGTAAACCAAGATGTCAAAGATGATGTACATGTAGCATGATGGGAAAATTTATTATGTGCCCAACTTCTGTAGTTGTAATATAAGGGTCTTTGTCAACTGATGAGAGAGTGGTGAGATGAAATGGCTGCTCCCTTAGTTTCTCATATGTTACGTAATTTAGTTATTAGAAGAAACATTTGAGGTGAATGTGGGCTGGTTGGATTTGGACTTTTTCCAAAGCTAACTGCAACATTTGGATTTTTACTTTTGTGGAAAATGTAATTGTGCTGAAATTTGATGCCAAGGGAGGATCATCTCAGCTTCATGCTTACTGTATTTAGTTATAGGAGATTTTTTATTTTTTTAAATAAATGATATTATGTAATAAGTAGATGGTCAGTGTATATGTTTTTGGATTTCAACCCTGTAAGAGTTCTTGTCATCATATGGATGTATTGATCACTAGTTTTAATGTCTTAACTAGTATGAATGGGTTGCTGAATCTTACCATTGAAAAAGAGTGAAGAAATATTGGGGGTGGGTTTGGCACATGTATGGCTACAGTACCTAGTCATAAAGGGACAACGGTGCAAGTACAAATCATTGTCCTTCTAGAGACGGAAAGAGTTGGTGAACAAGATGAAAATGTTGTCAGGTAATCAGTGGTTGTGTAAAATTTTTGAAGAATGGGACAACAGTAGGAATTGAATTAAAGGAATGGTGGTAACAAATTTTCTTTTGGAAATGACGAACACTCAGGAGTAGACAGTGTACTAAGAGTATGTTCCCATTTACTGGCATATCCCATCACCAATACTATAAATGTTCTACTGTATGGCACAGAATCCCCTCCCCCCCTTTTTTCTAGACTAGAAAAAACTTAAAAAAGGTTCATCAATATGAACACAAATTTGCCCATTAACTGGAGATCTCATTCCAGGCACCAGAATCATTCAAGCGTACAGCATACCATGCTTTCCTCCTCTTTTAGGAGAAAGTATCTGGAACATGACAAGTTTCTTCCCTCAGTGTTATGGCTGAAAAATCAGTAATCGTGAATTAAGTTTTTTCCAGTGAAGTGTCAGCTCTTCTTTGTTTTTGCTTGTGCATTGTTTAGGAGCTTTATATTAGTGGGACGTTGAAGCAGTTACTCCTGGCATATGTGCTTTTTGTTCCTCTTTATTATTTGGTGGTGCATCAATTGCAGATATCTCACTATATAGATCTATGTTATGAAAAGTGGACTGGAAGGTTTAACTGGAAAAAACTGGCAGCTTGCTGGGAAGCCGGACTGGTAAAACATTGAAAACCGCCTTTCTGAAAACTGGCTCCAAAACCTCTTAACTGCTGGTTCAACTGGATCCGGCCAACCTGGTCACGATTTTTCCCTGTCACCGACTTGATGTTATCTGAGAAAAGATAAGGATGATCCCGTCCACAAATTCAGATCTGTATCTCAACCATTCAAAACTTAAAATTTCTTTTAAGGAACTAAGATATTATGGGTGTCAATAATGCCAGAAGTAGAAAAGATGAAATTTACCTTAAGAAATTGAAATTGGATGTCACCTTCTTGGCCTGGAAGTTATGATTTGACTTAATCTTGTTTCTAACTTTTCATATGCAACAATGAACGTAAAAGGACTGTATGGAAATGAACACGACAGGTGGTGCCTTATCCTTTCCTTTTCTGTTATATTTTATATTTGCATCTGTTGGTCAACTATTTTAACTAGCAAATAAAGAATTGATTAATTTATTTATTACATCAAATTACCGATAATGTAGCTAATTAGACAGTTAAATTTGTAAGGTTGATTGCATATTTAGAACCTGTTTGGTACACATTTTTTAACACTCATTTTTCCTCAAACTTAATTTTCCTTTTCACGGATAAACTTATATTTATTTGCTAATTTTATATTACCGGTTCAACCCGATCGAATTGTTTGAACCATGACCTTTTTAAGTTTTCCTGTTTTCTGGTTAGATGTCCAGTCCGGTTTTCAAAACATTGGTATAGATTATTGACTCTCTTTAATAACAATTTTATTTGTGTTTTATATGTTTTTGCAACTCCTTGGTGCTTTATTGGCTCCAAATGTTTGCTAAAAAAATGTAATTTTCTTTTAGTTGGTTGACTTTATAGTCAACTTTCATTTGCCTCAAAAGGGAAGGACTTCAGATTATTATGTCATCCCTATGGTATTTTTTATTGTTTTAATTGGCTCACATTGTTCTAGTTGCTGATTTGTTTTGTGCTTGACTCTTGGATTATCTTGCAGGAGAGGGTAAATTACTTGGAGGATGGGAAAAATGTATTTAGACTTAGGCTACGATTATGTTCATCATTATACCCAATTAGTGAGCGTATCAGAGACTTTTTCCTTGAATATGACAGGCACGTTCTTCGAACAAGTCCACCTTGGGGATCTGAGCTTCTTGAGGTTTGTTTTTTATCGCTCTATTGTTGTTATCTTTTTTTGTCCTTTATCAAATGAACCATGAAAAGCACATCACAACCTACATTATACAAGAACAAAATCAAGGCCAACTTTGAGGAGGTGAATAATTCCCTTGCGAACTGTGATTTAGACATGAAGCCTTCAGTATGTCGTGGTTGGAACACTGGAAGAGTTTTAGAAATCAGCTGCTGTTTGCATCATATTTTAGACTTTTTAAAACTTCTATTATGCAAGTGAATTCTCGCCGATCCCAAGTTTTATTTTGGATGATCAGCTTCTTCTTGTTATGTGCATTTAAAGTCTAAAAATGTATTTTTCTTTATTTAAGTAATAATTCCTTTAATATGAAATGCATTTAGTTTACTGAGTTAAGTAATTATAATTATTTCATATGAAAAGCATGTTTACTGAGTTAAGTAATTATGATTATGAACAGTATATTGTTGTCGAGAACATGGAGTGTTATGGTTCCATCTTATGCTCTCAAAGCTCTTGGATATCTCTGTGGTTAGCATTTTGTAACTGATGACTTACCTCTCTAAGTATGACTACAATTGGCCGCTATTATGCTTGTTGCCCATTTGTTTATGCCCCTTTTACTTGCCACTCACCTGATTGGACAATTAAATTTTCATTTTCATTTTTAATTGCTCTTTTATATGCACTACCACAAAGTCTTCATAATGGAGAGTATCTCACAAGGAAGGTAAGAAGTTCAAAGAATATCCTATTGGTGTTTTTCACCCACTTTTTCTATAAAATTAGTTGTGATTTATTAGCTGTTTTAGAAATTTATTTTATTTCTTTTGGCTGCATAATTCTCAATCTTAGAGCTACTAAAGTTGGCGTATGTCCTGAAGCTCAGGGTTTTTCTCCAATGGTCAACGGTCTAACCATAATCAACATAGTTTACTAGTGGCTTCGTAAGCTGGAGAAACTCTGAAAAAAAATTTATTGCCGAAAGGCCCAAAAGGGATTGATTATAGTTTGACATTTGCGCTTGTCAGCTGAGCTACCAATAATTTACTTTTCATGCAGTGGCTTAATATCTGAAATGGTTAAAAAGAACTCGTGGTATTTTTGTCTCTAGATTTGTGATGAATAGTTCTAGTAACATTTTTTTTATTATAATACTATGCTGAATTTGCTTAATGGCGTCTAAGATTGAAGTCTCTGGTTTTTCTTGCAGGCCATTAACAGTCTGAAGAATGTTGATTCTACAGCTTTGCTTCAGTTTCTTCACCCAATTCTGAACATGCTTCTCCATCTCATTGGCAATGGTGGAGAGACTCTACAGGTCAACTCAAAGAACTAAACAATGTTTTCTAATCCTTTTTCCCTTTCCACATTTACGATTCCCCCACTACTTATTTTCACTATGTGTGTGTTATTTGCCTTCTAAAAATATGTTTTGGTAGTATAAGATTGAGTTGGTGTATGTTTACCCACATTCAGGTTGCAGCCTTCAGAGCCATGGTTAACATTTTAACCCGGTATGGTTTATAACTATGATTAGAAATCTTGCATATGGCTTTATTCATTTTCCTTCAGTTTTGGTTTATCTATCACTTGTATGCAGATAAGTGAGTTGGAATCAACTATTGTTGCATCAGTCTGCGACATTTGTATCACTGACATGCAGCCTCCAGTTTGGTTAATAATTATGTGGTATTCTGCAGGGTGCAGCAGGAGTCAGTTGATGAAGGTGAAAGAAATGTTTTCCTAGTTAACTATGTTGATTATGCTTTTGATGATTTTGGTGGGCGCCAACCACCTGTGTATCCTGGTTTGTCCACAGTTTGGGGAAGTTTGGCCCGTAGTAAGGTAATTTTGATGCTCAAATCATTTTTGTCCTTTTGAAATGTTGGATTTTATGCGCAATAATAAAGAAATGAAAAAGAAAAATCAACACAAGAATTTACTTGGTTTGACGTTGTGCCTACGTCCACGAGAGCGAAGCGGAGATAATTTTTATTCAATGCGTTACGCTTCTCTCACTCCGCTTCACTCCGGCATCGGCCTATTTGATCCAAAACCTGTGTTCCACTCTATATGAGCCATATGCACAACATGAAATAATGGAACTCAAAGATTTGACCCTCTAGACATAATTTATTAGTCAGATGTGATCACATTCTGTATTTTATAAATCAATGTACCTAAATAATCTTCTCAAGCAATCCATACACACAAAATAAATCATTAATTATCAGTTAATGCATACACCTGTGCTTTTCTTTCAGGTTTGATGCGTGTCCTTCATATTAGATTATTGTATTTTAGACATGGGAGTGATGCTCATTTCTTTTATTTTTCTTAACTTTGGTTTTGAATATTAGGCCAAAGGGTACCGTGTTGGACCAGTTTATGATGATGTCTTGGCCATGGCTTGGTTTTTCCTTGAGCTAATTGTCAAATCAATGGCCTTGGAGCAGACTCGGTTGTTCTGTGATAATCTTCCTATGGGTAACTGTTTATTCATCACTTGTGTATCTTCAGTTGTTTCTATATCCTAGTTCTTTAACCACGAATTCACTTGTTTCATATCATTGGTTCTATTGTCACTGAGGAAATAAAATTTGGTGTAAATTTTGATTGAATGCTAGTTTTTTCTTACTAGATCGGTAGCCCTCTTTTAGTTTAACTACAAATATGTGTGGAACTCTTTACCTTGTCAATTTTATGAGTATCCTGGTCAACAATATCCCTTAACCTCATAAAGTATTAAAACCTTTTGTTACTTTTTCAAAAGGTATTTATAGTGGTTAGCTACGTCTTAAACTACACTGAAAATTTTCTTGTATTGATGGTTATCAGTGTTTAATAAACCAGGTCATGTATAGGGTTCCTTCTTTGTTCTTATCTTTGGTTTTATCATGCACCCATTTAGCATTTATGTTTTTGGCTTTACTCATTGTTATGTGAAAATGTATTAAATTTTTCAGTTGTGCTACATGTACATGATGATTTATATGATGGTTTACATACACATGATGTGGCGAGATATGATTCGATCGGAATTTCCTTAACCGAATTAAAAAAACTTCTTCACTCTCTTTTTGACACCTCGTATGTATGTAAACCAATATGTAATTCCATTATGTACAAGTAGCATTGTTTTAAAATTTTTCCAATTCTATTGTATAAGCTACTTTTATGAAATGGTTTTGTGTAAAGAACGTTGAGGCACTTCTTTTTGTATCAGAAACTGTTGCACATATTTTCTCTACAACCAGATTTCTGCACAAGTAGACATTTCATATCTTTATTGATCTCCTGTATTGTTTTGTCTGTTTTCTCTGTGTAGGTGATGATTTTCTGTATATGGTTCCTTCTTTATCCTTTTGTTTTATCATGCATCAGTAGCATTTATGTTTTTGGCTTAACTCATATTTTGTTATGCGGAGAACCTATTGAACTTTTGTTCACTTACATAGTTTAAATTACTTTTATGATATGGTCTCATGGCAAGAACATCAACGCACTTCTTTTTGTATCAGAAACTGTTGCACTTTTTCCTTTTATGCCCTAATTTCTGCATAAGTACACATTTCACATCTTCATTGATCCCCTGTATTGTTCTGTCTGTTTTCTGTGTGTAGGTGATGATGTTCCACCAATGCAGTTGAAAGAAGGTGTTTTCAGATGTATAATGCAATTGTATGATTGCCTGTTAACAGAAGTTCATGAGCGCTGCAAAAAGGGTCTAGGATTGGCCAAATATCTGAACAGTAGTTTGGCCTTCTTTTGTTATGATCTTTTATCGATAATTGAGCCTCGCCAAGTTTTTGAGCTGGTACGTTTCTTATGGAGTTCTTGAAACTTGGTCTTTCATGCTGACAAGTTATCTATATGATTGTAGCAAATTCAATATGTGAAATTACTTTCAATTATTTTTGAAGGAAAACCAGTTCAAAGGAATCATGTTATAGCGAATTATTATGAACTTTTATTTATTTTTTTATTAGCAAAATATAATAACATTGCATTTGTCTTTATGATAGGTTATTATGCACCAAGGGCATGAAACCTATTTAAGAAAGTTAAAATATAAAGGAATAATATTATTCTCTCTATAACGCACAAACCATCTACAATCAGTGAAGACATGCAACTGGCAGTATAGCACTTTTTCCAGAGAGAGGGTTATGTGGAAAAGAAGCATTTGTTATTTTGTATAGATCATCCATTCCTTTAAAAGATCTGTTATTTCTTTCTGTCAAAAGGGCAACTAATACCCTCTTGATGTAGTGGAAATCCAAACCTGCTTTTAAGCATGAAACCTTAGGCGATTTCTCTCAGAAAATACAAGTTGATCCAAATTCTTTTCCTCCTCATTTGAATCTACGAGTAAGAAATACTGCCTTTTGCTGCAATGAGATTTTATTGCCTTTATCATCAGAAATTTAAAATATTTCTCTTTTGTTTGATAAAATAGCCATTGTGGACACACGAGGCAAGTTTTTTCATGGAGAATACACGATGAATGGAGCTCCCCTCACAATCCAAAATAACCCAGCCCCCACACCCCCACACTACCGGCGCCAGCGACCAACGGTCCGGTAGGCACCACACAACCGGCCTCACGCCACAAATCAGCCCCTCCAACCACCCAGATCACACACAGGCGCCGTTTACTGTGGAAACCCTAGCGCCGCCCAGCCGTTTTCCACCAGATCCGGCCAGAGCTCGAGCAGACGCGCCTCACCGGAAGCCTCAGCAGGGACCGGCGACCCCCGCCGGTGTCCTGCCTCCCACACGACCGTCGGGAAACATGCAGCGGCAGCCTGCTGCCCCGAGATCAATCGGCTTGTCTGTTCTTCCATTTGATGAATTGCTAGTACACAATCAAGGGAAAAAGTTGGCGGATGTGCGTAGTTTGGTATTCAATCATCGTTTCAGAGTGGAGGCGAAGGATTTCGCAGTATCTATTAACGATTCTGGCACTGTTAAGTTGACAGAATGGGGTTCGAAGTTATCGGATTCAATCTTTATGGGAAGGTATGGTGCTATTTGGATGGTGAATATGGTAGACAGATTGAGGAAGAGAAGTGAAGTTGAGGAATGTGTTTTTAAGTTCAATGAGTCTTCAAGAGCTTTCTTGGCACAACGGTAACCATCGAGGCAGATATTTAATGATAGCACAATATGGGGAGAGGCGTCGGAAAGGAGTTGTCATGATACCAGAAGGTGCAAATGGAGAGGGATGGGCGTCGGTCTTGCAGGTGTTTCAAGCAGTTGTTGACTCATTTGTTGCTAGGGATAAGGCCAAAAGACAAATGGTGATTGAACGAAACAGACAGAGGATGACTTATGCAGAAATTACAGCAAACTCACAGACCTCGGAGAATGCTAACCAAGGGATGTTTCAGCAAAAGGAAGGGAGAAATAAAGTCGGAGATAACGAAGGTCACAACATTTGTCTGAATAGGGTTGAGATAATGACCCGTGCGCAGGAGTTGAAAGGAGCACTGGATGAATTACTTAGACTGGTTGGAAGCGGGTTTGAAATGGAGCCCATGAAATTGGTATGTTGTCACAAGTGTGGGGTTGAGTTGGATGAGGATCAAACCGGTGAAATACACGCACCGGGATTGACTCATGAGGAACTACCACCAATTACAGAACATGCAAAGTAGGGAGGAGATGAACATTGTGATTCTCAGGTGAGGATGGAAGCGGGATACAATGAAAACGATGACAGGGTTGACTTTGTGGGGGTCAACCGAACTGAAGTAGACACAGGGATTGCAGTTGAACGAGAAGAGGAAATGCTGTCTAAGGAAGGGGAGTTCAGTATGGTGAACTTGGAGAAATTGTCAATGGACACAGTGAAAGAAAACAACGATACACAAACGGCATCAAGGATTACGAACACTTATAATAGGAGGACAAAAGATAACGATATGGGGACCGAAAAGCTTTGGTGTTATGGGTATGTGGTGCCAAGAAAGGAGAAAGTGACAGTGACATTATACCAGTGGTGGAAGAGAAAGAACGGTCCTTTGATCATCTCGAGGGCNATGCAGAAATTACAGCAAACTCACAGACCTCGGAGAATGCCAACCAACGGATGCTTCAGCAAAAGGAAAGGAGAAATAAAGTCAGAAATAATGAAGGTCACGACATTTGTTTGAGTAGGGTTGAAATAATGACCCGTGCGCAGGAGTTGAAAGGAGCATTAGATGAATTACTCAGACTGGTTGGAAGCGGGCCTGAAATGGAGCCCATGAAATTGATACGTTGTCACAAGTGTGGGGTTGAGTTGGATGAGGATCAAACCGGTGAAATACACGTACCGGGATTGACTCATGAGGAGCAACCACCAATTACAGAACATGCAAAGCAGGGAGGAGATGAACATTGTGATTCTCAGGTGAGGATGGATGTGGGATACCATGAAAACGATGACGGGGTTGACTTTGTGGGGGTCAACCGAACTGAAGTAGACACAGGGATTGCAGTTGAACGAGAAGAGGAACCGCTGTCTAAGGAAGGGGAGTTCAGTATGGTGAACTTGGAGAAATTGTCAATGGACACAGTGAAAGAAAACAACGATACACAGACGACATCAAGGATTACGAACACTTATAATAGGACAAAAGATAACGATATGGGGACCGAAAAAGCTTTGGTGTTATGGGTAGGTGGTGCCAAGAAAGGAGAAAGTGACAGTGACATTATACCAGTGGTGGAAGAGAAAGAACGGTCCTTTGATCATCTCGAGGGCTATCAGGGTGAGGATACTTTAGGAGCTGATGTGTTAGAAGTTGGTCACCCACCTTCAAACTGGGTGCTACATAAAATTCAGGAATTCAGTAAGTTGGTTGGCGTGTCATGTGATGGGTATGAAAGTAGATTGCTACAATTATTCGAGGAGCTGGAGGCTAATAGGGGACAAGACATCAGTACACATGGAAGTAAATTAAGAAAAAAGGGTGATGTGAGCTTAAGAGGCTCGAATGGTCAGTACACTACGCTGGTAAGGGTGGCGAGACCAAGAAAGGAACAATGGGGAGGGGTTATGGAGTGTTACAATGATGCCAAAACTCAGTAGTTGGAACGTAAGGGGTCTCAATGAAGTTAGTAAAATGTTTGGTGTTCGTCATTTGCTAAGGGGATGGGGTGCAAATCTTGTTTGCCTACAAGAAACTAAGATGGAGTTTATCTCGAGGGCGGTGATTCGTAGTTTATGGGGGGGAGATCATGTTGGATATCAGTTTTTGGGGTCATCAGGGATTTCAGGAGGCGTGTTGGTGATGTGGGACACTAGAGTGCTTGAGATGAAGGAGGTGAGTATAGGGGTGTTCTCTATATCGATTTCTTTCAAAAATTGTGAGGATGGATTTCGGTGGATGTTCACAGGAGTTTATGGGCCTAATTCTGATGACAGTAGAGTGGGTTTGTGGGATGAACTGGCTGGAATGAGGGCTTGGTGGAATCTTCCTACATGTATTGGGGGTGATTTCAATGTGATTCGATTTCCTTCGGAGAGGTCGAGTGGTGGGAGACTAACTAGGGCAATGGAGGAGTTCTCAGATTTTATTAGGGAGAATTTGTTGGTGGATTTACCTATGATTGGGGGAGATTTTACCTGGTCATCCAATCGGGATCAACCCGTTCTGTCTCGTATTGATAGGTTCTTGGTTTGTGAGGAGTGGGAGTCTAAATATTCAGATGTCACTCAGAGAAGATTGGGGAGGGTATACTCGGATCATTTTCCTATTATGTTAAGGGGGAATAGAAGGGGTGGTGGAAGAAGACCTTTCAGGTTTGAGAAGATGTGGTTGAAAGTAGAAGGTTTTAGGGAGCGAGTACAGACGTGGTGGACTTCCTATGAAGTCAGTGGGTCTCCCTGTTTTGTATTGGATCAGAAGCTAAAGGCGTTGAAAGGGGACTTAAAGAAATGGAATGAGGAAGTTGTAGGCAATGTTAACTGTAGTAAAAATCAGTGTCTGTCAGAAATAGAGGAATTGGATAGGCGGGAAGAGAGTGAGGGGTTGAATGGGGAGGAGAAGGGGAGACATAGAGGATTAAAGGAAGAGATGGAGAGGTTGGTGGAGATGGAGGAGATTAATTGGCGACAGAAATCTAGAGTTACTTGGTTGAAAGAGGGGGATAAATGCACTAAATTCTTCCACAGGGTCGCCAATTCTAATAGGAGGAACAACTCCATCACAGTTTTGGAGGTGGACGGGGTTACTTATGAGGAACCACAGGAAATTGGAAGCCAACTGGTTAATTTTTATCAGAACCTCTAACGGGAGCAATTTGAATGGAGGCCAGAATTGGAGGGATTGCACTTTTTTACAATCAATGAGGATGATGCCCGATGGATGGAGAGACCATTTGGGGAGGATGAAATTAAGGAGGTCGTTTTCAGCATGAACGATGATAAGGCCCCGGGACCGGACGGTTTCTCGTTCTCATTCTACAAAGCGTGTTGGGATGTGGTTCGACTGGACATTGTGAATACTTTATCTTATTTTTTTGAACTTGGCAGATTCCAGAGAAGTTCTAATGTCACATTTATTGTGCTCATCCCTAAGAAACCAGGAGCGACTGATATTAAGGACTTTCGCCCCATTAGCCTTGTCAGCGGGGTGTATAAGATTATTTCGAAAGTCCTGGCAAACAGATTGAAGGAGGTACTGGGAAAAGTAGTGTCCAAGTTTCAGAATGCATTTGTAAAAGGCCGTCAGATTTTGGACTCTGTGCTTATAGCGAATGAATGCATAGATTCAAGAATGCGCCTAAGGGCCCCAGGGATGCTTTGTAAGCTAGATATTCAGAAGGCTTACGACCATGTGAATTGGGGTTTCTTGTTATATATGCTCAGGTGCTGTGGCTTTGGGGATAAATGGTGTAAATGGATTCAATTCTGTATTTCTACTGTTTCATTCTCAGCTTTGGTCAACGGAACACCAGAGGGTTATTTCCGGAGCAGAGGCTTGAGACAAGGGGATCCATTATCCCCATTGTTATTTGTCATTGTGATGGAGGCTCTCAGTAGGATGATTGAAAGAGCAGTGAGAGCGGGTTTGATAAGGGGTTTTATGGTCGATCAATTGCAGGTGTCTCATCTGTTATTTGCAGATGACACGTTGATCTTATGTGATGCAGATGTAGAACAATTCAGGAACTTGCTCCGTCTGCTCTTATGTTTTGAAGCGGTGTCTGGTTTGAAATTAATTTGGGAAAGTCTGAGGCTATTCCAGTTGGAGAGGTTAATAATGTCGAGGAGCTGGCTGATATATTGGGTTGTAAGGTTGCGCAGTTGCCGATGTCATATCTAGGACTCCCATTAGGGGCACGATTTAAAAGTACCTATATCTGGAATGGTATTGTGGAAAGGATGGAGAGAAGGTTAGCAGGGTGGAAGCGTATGTACCTTTCTAAGGGTGGTAGACTTACTCTCATTAAATCCACTCTCTCCAATCTCCCTACTTATTTTTTGTCATTGTTCCCCATTCCGATAGCAGTGGCAAAGAGACTAGAGAGGCTTCAAAGAGAATTTCTGTGGGCAGGGTTGGGAGAGGAGAGGAGAGGAGAGGAGAGGAGACTCCATTTGGTCAATTGGGGAGTTGTTTGTTTGCCGATGAGGATGGGAGGTCTTGGGGTGAGGAGCCTTGTGTTGTTCAATAAAGCCTTATTAGGCAAGTGGTTGTGGCGATTTGGAGTGGAGAGGAACAGTTTCTGGAGAGAAATAATTGGGGCGTAGTATGGTGTGACCGACCGATGGGGGATGGTGTACATTTAAGGATCGTGGTTCTTATGAGGTGAGCTTGTGGAGGTATATCCGACGGGGATGGAGTGCATTTTTGGACAAACTGAAGTTTGTGGTTGGAAATGGTAATGAGATTACATTTTGGGATGATTGTTGGTGCGGAGATCAACCGCTGAAGGAGAGATTCCCCTCTTTGTATCGTATTGCCTTAGTGTCCACTGTCATGGTGAGTGATTTCTTAGACATTCATAATGGGAGTTATAGCTGGAATATAACTTTTGGGAGGGATCTTCAGGATTGGGAATTGGAAGATTATTCGCTGTTTATTACCATTTTACATGAGGCCCAAATTCGGATTGGAGAGAGGGATTGCATTAGGTGGAGGACAGCACAGGATGGAATTTTTTCGGTTCGCTCGTACTTTGGTTCCCTCATGGGATGTGTGAATAATTCATTCCCATGGAAGTTGGTTTGGCAGTGTAAATTGCCTCCTCGGGTGGCATTTCCATTGTGGACAGTTGTGAGGGGACAGGTCTCAACGGTGGATAATCTTCGTCGTAAAGGCTTTTATGCAACCGAGTGGTGTTATATGTGCAAGAAGGATGGGGAGACGATTGATCATTTGTTCATTCATTGTGATGGTGTACGTTGGATTTGGAACAGTATAATCAGTTCACAATCTATGGATTGAGTGATGCCTCGTCGTATAGAGGACGTGATACGGGCATGACGTAGAAAATTTCGGGATAAGGATAGCAAACTAGTATGGCACTTTATCCCGGGCTGCATTGTTTGGTGCATGTGGAGAGAAAGGAACAACCGTTGCTTCGAAGATCAAACAAAGACAAGAGAGCAGATAAGAGAAATATTTTACTTTACCTTGTATTCTTGGTTTAATGCTGTGGCTAGAAATCCTGTAGATGGGTTGCCTAATTTCATGTTTTTCCTTAATAGCTTAAAGTGATTGTACACCCCCGTGTATTTTCTTTTAAGTAATAAAACTGAACAGGGCAACTGCTATGTTATTAACCATATGTAACATTTTTTATCCTGTTGGAGGTGAGAGTATTATACCAGTATCTTTTGCGCATCTTGGTTCATCCAAAGATTTATCGTCCTATTCTGCCTCAATCTAGCTCCTCAGTCATATAAAATGGATTATATTATAAGGGCATCAAGGGGGTGCAACCCATCAAGAAACCATTTTATGTATACATTGGCGTAAACTTACTAAAAAAGCAAATGGACCGTTTTTTGTTCACGTAAACTTACCAAAAAAATGAACGATTGCTTTGTCTATGTACTTTATTGTTCTAAACTCCCAGAGGGGAGGGGGAAGGGGAAAAATTTATATTGCTTCTGAGGAAATACAAAATGACTTGGTAAATTAGATTTTACTACAAGAAAATCAAACTTTGTATTGAGTTTATTAGAACTTGGCTTGTTGCATGTATAGAGCCTAATAATATTGTATACTTTTCCCTTCGACTGAGGTGTGGCCTAATATTTCCTCCTGGTAATTTGGGTGAGCCTCCTTCGTTTTGGGCATAGAGAGCATAACACAGGCATGAGTTCAGAAGCAAACACATTGTAATCTTCTTCTCGTAATTTTAGAATCCTGTAGTGGCAAGTGGATGTAACTCTTACATTGAGAGTCAACCGCTATAGATCGTGTGGTTTTACTTGCTTTCTTTTTCTGTTTTATGTTATTAATTGCTTCTTATAGTATGGGATTAATCATTGAATCCATAAATGCTGTATCCAAAATTTATGTTGAGCTGCTCATTTTGTACTTTCATTTTTCTTCCTTTTTAATTTGTTTATGTTTTCTTTTCTCAAACTAAAGCGCTGAGCCATCTTTTTCATTCTTTGCTTCCTTTCCCTAGTTTTACATTTTGCAGTTTTGCAATGATTGGAACTGTTTTGTTCTCTTATAGGTGTCCTTGTACCTAGACAAGTTTTCTGGGGTGTGCCAATCAGTGCTGCATGACTGCAAGCTTACATTTTTGCAAATTCTATGTGACCACGATCTTTTTGTGGAAATGCCTGGACGAGATCCTTCAGATAGGTATTGATTGTAATTCTTTATAGTCATGCCTTCTAAATGACTACTTTGTGTACCATTTTTACTGCTCTTATTAAATAGTTCCTGTTTGTTGAATTTATTCATCAATTCATGTGTATGCTTTTGCATCATTCTTCACCCAAATGTACAAAAAGGCGTAATCAGGTATTTAGGACGAGGCATAAGCCTTATAATAAACTGAAAAAATGCCAAAAAAATTTTACAATTCCAAATAAGCTCATAATTCATCACAATCAATCTTCAAATTTCATAATAGAACAATTTATCATGTCCGAACTCTCAAACGGAAATATCTATAAAGAAAATTACTATTTTAGTCATAGAGGCAATGGACTATTTCCGAAGTTGGTCTATGAAAAATGCAATTTATTTATGTTTTAGTGGGCAATAGATTATTCTCAAAATAGGTCAATAAGAATTTTTATGTTTTGTGAGCCACAAGCTGTGAGATGTGTGCCTCATACGACTAAGGCATACGCCTTCAAAAACTGGGTCATAATCAGTGCCATGAGGCATTTTTGCACGCCTCACTCTGAGGTGGACCTTTAGGCAGATGTCAATTGGATTTTTAAAACCATGCTTCACCCTAGATCACGATTCTTTTTTGTTGTAAGTTCTTCACGCAGACCTTTAGGTGGTTTTCAATTGGGATTTTTAAACCATGCTTCTCCCAAGATCATGATTCTTGTTTATTGGTACCTCTCTTGTTTATTTGGGAAACTTTAAGGACGCATAAGTTTGTCTTTCTGCAAATTATCCACTCCCCATTCATCTGCTACCCACCATGGGTAGCAATGCACTGGCTTGCAAAATCTTCACTTATTACCAACGAAGTGTGAATATCAGACTACTAGTTATCTTACAGTAGATTAATATCTCATTCAAATCAACCTAAACATGTCTATGTTCTCCTTTACATTTCAAATTTATTTTAAAAGAAAGAAATCATGAAAAAGATGGTCATGGGAGTGTTAGTATTCTAGTTCTTCTGCAATGTTCCTTTCAGTTGCGTGGCTAATAATCTGAATCAAGCCATTAATGGTCTCACTAGGCTCCATAGCTCACATGTTTATTGGATCTTTTTATGTTTTTATGTCTCCCTTTTTTCTTTTAAAGTGATGTTTAAAAGTTTGCATAATTTCATAGTCAACTGATTTTGATGAGTGCAGATTTGTGTTTCATTTGGTACTTATCCCGGGTTTAGTAACTACAGTTGGACCTCGTACTACTTCGGGAGATGTTCAGATGTGTCTGACCTGGTATTTTTCTTTATGCAGGAACTACCTTTCATCTGTTCTAATACAAGAGATTTTCCTTACTTGGGATCATGATGATTTATCTATGAGGGCCAAGGTGAGTGCAAAACTGCATGAGATATCTATATCTCGCAGCAGTTTTTTCTACACTGGGTGAAAGATTTGATTTCCTGAATTTGCTAATGCAAGTTTGTTTCCCAAAATTCTTGCAACATTTCCTTTTGGGTATTTGTAGGCAGCTAGAACTTTGGTGGTTCTTTTGTGCAAGCATGAGTTTGATGTTCGTTACCAGAAGCCTGAAGATAAATTATATATAGCTCAATTATACTTTCCCCTCGTAGGCCAGGTGTGTAATTATTATGCTTGTCAATGTTCTCCATTGTAAATTTTGTACATTGTGATCTATTGATGCTGTCTAAGCTTAAAAACAATTATATTTTATGTGATTAAGTTAGTTCTATTCTAGGACATGCTATTTCTGAAGTTTTTGCACATAAAAGTACAAAAATACATTATGCTGGTGATGTTATGATTGTAGAAACAAAGGCCTTTATGAAAAAATCTATCAAATGCTTAGCAGCAGTTCATTAGTACTGTCATCCTTCATCTTCATTGCTTCGTTCTTGCATATTATATATCACATGAAATTTGTTCACTTGTAATATGCAGGAAGTTTGTTAATGTTGCTTTTCCCATTATGAGTTAGGCTTGGAGTAAATGCCGTAGTTTTGATTACGACCAGAATATTACCCTCATCATGATTTCCTTTTTGGAAGTTTACCTGCACTATGTTATGATCCCTATTTGATTTTTTGTAATTTCAATGATTTGGGTGTAGAGCTTAATGTGTTGAACTCATTGAATCCTTCTGTTTCCTGATTATCAATTATAAATAATCTGATTTATGCTTGTGCAAATCCTATTGTACTCTCTAGCTTGATCACACTTCCCCCCTTCTCCTTTCATTTAGGCCCCTTCTGCAATAAATACTTTTATGCAGACTGTACAATATATCTTAAATTGTTCGTAATATCTTGTTCTCCGCTATAATTTCTCCTTCTCATGCTAATAATAAAGAAATGCCAGCAAAAATTGACAGAAACTAATATGATTTGAGTTGGTAAGAGGTGCAAATCGAGATCAGAACAACTTTCTGTCGGTTCATAAAGAAATTGGGTTGGAAAATCCACCTCATTCCAGGGCTAACTCCCTGGATAATGCTTCTGACCCTTCTATGAAATCTAGATTTAGTTAAAAACATTTATACTGAGGGATGATCTATGTCTTTATTCGTCATATTGCAGACAGACTTGGTTACTTTTTCCCCTTGTTTTGATGTTGCATATAGTGCATCAAAGGAAGGTTTCCACAGCTGTGTATCAGGGTGCTTTTTCTACTTGCTTTCAGTTATATCATTTCCATATTTGTTGATCTATCGATGCAGATTCTGGACGAAATGCCTGTCTTCTACAATCTGAGTTCAATTGAAAAGCGTGAAGTGTTGATTATTATCTTGCAAATCATACGCAACTTGGATGATGCCTCTCTTATAAAGGCTTGGCAGCAAAGCATTGCTCGTACCAGATTATTTTTCAAACTCTTGGAGGAGAGCTTGAGTAGTTTTGAGGTTACATTATATTTTCTATTGCAGTTATTTCTTGGTAGTTTTGCACGAGTTCACTGAGCATTGACGTGATAACGGTATTACAAACACCCCCTCCTCCCCAGAATTGTCATAAGAAAGAAACATTCATCACTATGTGTTGTGTAAGTTTTTTAATAATCCTCTTTTTCTGCCTTTTGAATGGCTGTTGCTTGCTGTCTGCCATCCGTCATTAACAGAGCATATCATAGTGTCTCCCCATAGAAGAAAACCATACATGGAATGCTGAACATTCCTCTAACCTTAACTCTTATATCACCAATGGTTGGACTCGTAGCTCTCTCTTCCCCATGCCAGGCCTTCCAAACTGCTGGCATTTATTCTTTGTGAGGGGAGCCATCATATTTTAAAAGGAATTCCACCCCTTGGGTGACGGGGTGGGTAAGCAACATATCACGCAAACCATATATGGGGTGTGTAATTGCATTTTCTGTTTTTGACATGGTAAAACTTGACATATAATGGCCCTATGGTCATTTCTCCGGATTTTTTTAAGATTTACTTCATGGATGGAAGCTTCTCTTTTGTTTGTAAGTTGTTTCATTTCCTTTACATATTACAAAAATTAAAGTACAACTTAACGATGCAATTCGGCTATTCTTAAAGTCATGGTTTATGTAAAAGAGGGAATGTTTTAAGGAACCCCGATTAGTTGTTTCCTTGGTGAGTTGAGTTAACTTTAAGATTTTAATGCTATGTGAATTTTTCAAATGGTAAAATTACTTGACTTCCACTCTCAAGTCAATAACATCATAATGCTTGATTCCCTTTAATTTGTTTTTATGGATTCATATTTTATGTTTATCACACGTTTCTTTTGCTCAACGGCGTATTAGTCAGTATTATAATTTTAAATGACATTGAACAGCACAGAAAACCCGATGATGGCATGCTTATTGGCAATAGTTCTCGCAGCACTCCAGGAGATAAACCCATATCCCCAAAGTATTCTGAGAGACTTTCCCCTGCAATTAACCACTATCTGTCAGAGGCTGCACGTCAAGAAGTTGGAGTATGTTTTACCTTTTCAATATTAATTATTTTTTTTTAGGCATATTCAGTCACAAGTTTATATCTTTTGCCCCTTAATGTCTGAAAAATGCTTGACTAATGCAGCCTCAGGGGACACCTGAAAATGGGTATTTCTGGCAAAGAGTCAACTCCCAACTAAGCTCACCTAGTCAACCATATTCCTTGAGGGAAGCTCTTGCTCAGGCCCAATCGTCCAGAATTGGAGCTTCAACCCAAGCATTAAGGGAATCTTTGCACCCAATATTAAGGCAAAAACTGGTAGGGCGTCTTCTTGGAGTTAGATAGCATTACTATTTGAACTTCTATAGTTAACTTTTTATTTTCCGGTGATATTGATATGATCAATCATTTATCATGCAGACATTTATTTTGAGATGTAGAAATACTCTAAGACATCTAATACCTCTGCGTATTTTTATCTGATTGTGGAAGATATGCTTTTGGGATTATTGTGGCTTCTTTATCTATTGCTCAAAGCATACTGAATTAAATATGGTGTTTGTTACATTTCTATCTCGGATTCCTTTGTTTATGTCTTCCTTTTTGTTGTCTTTTCCTTTATACCTCAGGAACTTTGGGAAGAAAACCTGAGTGCTGCTGTCAGTCTTCAAGTTTTGGAAATATTAGATAAATTTTCGGGGACTGTAGCTTCTCATACGATTGCCACTGATTATGGGAAACTTGATTGCATTACATCTATATTTATGAGTGTCTTTTCGCGTAATCAACCACTGGTTTTCTGGAAAGCCCTCTTTCCAGTGATTAATAGTGTCTTTGAGCTTCATGGAGCAACGCTAATGGCAAGGGAAAATGATCGTTTCATAAAACAAGTTGCTTTCCATCTTCTTCGCCTTGCAGTTTTCCGGAATGAAAATATTAGGAAGAGGGCTGTTATTGGGCTTCAGATACTTGTTCGGGTAAGTTCAATGAGTTTTTGTGATATGTTTTCTTATGGCCCCAACTTTATTATCTTTCACACTGCTAGAATTTAATCAAATTTCTGTTTTGCAGTGTTCTTTTTCTTACTTTATGCAGACAGAAAGACTACGAGTTGTGCTAACTATTACATTGTCAGAGTTGATGTCTGAAGTCCAAGTGACACAGATGAAATCTGATGGAACACTTGAAGAAAGTGGCGAAGCTTGTCGTCTTCGAAAATCGTTGGTGGAAATGGCAGATGAATCTAGAAGTGTCAGCATATTGATAGAGTGTGGTCTTCCTGAAAATGCACTTGTCACTACTTCTGAAAGATCAGAGAACCTTTGGTCCTGGTCAGAAGTAAAGTCTCTCTCAGACAGTCTTCTTTTGGCTCTTGATGCTAGTCTGGAACATGCACTTTTGGTATATCTCGACCTCCCCACTCACCGTACAGACATGTTGCAGACTTCTTATGTTGACTAATATGACGTGTTGAATATTTTTAGGTATCCATCATGACTGTGGACAGATATGCTGCTGCAGAGAGTTTTTACAAACTTGCAATGGCATTTGCTCCAGTTCCAGATCTTCACATAATGTGGTTATTGCATCTATGCGATGCACATCAGGAGATGCAGTCTTGGGCTGAAGCAGCCCAGTGTGCTGTTGCTGTTGCTGGTGTTGTGATGCAAGTAAGATTTAATTTAATTTGTATTTTCTTGGCTGGTTGCTACTTCCTACTTGCGGTCAAGCTGTTCTTGTTCTCAGTCCGTTAATTTCAGTTTGAGCATGCATCCTCATAATCAGTAATTTTCCATGAAATTTTAAGGTAAAACTTGAAGGCTTTGTGTTTAATAAATTTGTTATCAAAGAACTCTTGTGATATGATAAATGTGCCCTAGCTTTTATCCTGTAGAGGTGGCATGATTTGACATTCTTCATTACTTTCACCCAAAAAGACAATTGTCCGTTTTCCTGTCATCTGATTGGCTAATCAGACCATAATGAAGAAAACTTGGAGTTGTAAGTTCACTTTGTAAATTGGAAGTGCCGTATATCAAATTTCAGTTGGCCTAAACTCGCAAGCTTGATTGTGATGTTGTTTGCATATTGGTCTTGGAATATGAGGATATTGACCTTGATTCGCACGCTTGATAACATCATGGTGTGCAGTGATATTTAACTCTGTGTGTGTGTGTGTGTGTGTTTATTAGAAACACTTTTGACCTTAGAAAAAATTGTCATGTAAAAGCATGACATAGATGTTTTCAACTAAAAAGTTGGAAAGATAATTATTATGTTAATACATGATTGTAATGGAAGAATTTACATTTTGCACGATATAATGTGAGGTGTGCATATTTTGTGAACGTTTTAGTTTTACAATAGAGTTAACAAGGCCAATTAGATGGATGAAGTCATCTGATGCCATTATTAATTTATACATTTTATTACTAGAAAATAGGTGCAGATAGTATTTTTAAATTGAAATATAGCATAATATAAACAAATAGAAAAAATGATGTTCTTTATCAAGGGTGCTTGTGTGCCATGCGAAGTTGCATGCTTATGTGAACATGGACCCTTTTTTGTAGGCCCTTGTGAGTAGGAATGATGGAGTATGGAGATCAGATCATGTGACTGCATTATGCAAAATATGCCCCATGGTCAATGGTGAAATAACTTCTGAGGCCTCGTCAGTTGAGGTAGAAGGATATGGTGCTTCAAAACTTACTGTTGACTCGGCTGTGAAGTACCTGCAACTTGCAAATAAGCTTTTCTCTCAAGCTGAGCTCCACCATTTCTGTGCTAGTATTCTCGAACTTGTAATCCCAGTTTATAAGAGCAGAAGGTCATATGGACAGCTAGCCAAATGCCACACGATGCTAACCAATATCTATGAGTCGATTCTTGAGCAGGAATCAAGCCCCATACCATACACAGATGCAACATATTATAGGGTTGGGTTCTACGGCGGAAAATTCGGGAAGCTTGATAGAAAAGAATATGTTTATAGGGAGCCTCGTGATGTACGGTTAGGTGATATAATGGAGAAACTTAGTCGTATATATGAGTCAAGAATGAATGGAACAACATTGCACGTAATCCCAGATTCTAGGCAGGTCAAAGCTGATGAACTGCAGAATGAAGTTTGCTACCTTCAGATAACTGCAGTTGATCCAGTTATGGAAGATGAGGATCTGGGAAGCAGAAGGGAAAGAATATTCTCACTCTCTACTGGAAGTGTCCGTGCACGGGTCTTTGATCGCTTTTTGTTTGATACTCCTTTCACTAAAAATGGGAAGACCCAAGGGGGACTGGAAGACCAATGGAAGCGGCGCAGCGTATTAAAGACTGAGGGTTCTTTCCCTGCTCTTGTGAATCGTCTACTGGTTATCAAATCAGAATCACTAGAGTTTTCGCCAGTAGAGAATGCGATTGGGATGATTGAAACACGAACAGCAGCCCTAAGAAATGAACTTGAAGAGCCTCGCAGCTCAGAAGGGGATCAACTCCCACGTCTCCAGAGCTTGCAGAGGATACTTCAAGGCTCAGTTGCAGTTCAAGTGAGTTATTGTGATCTTGTTAACTCGTGCTTGTTAACGATTTTTTATGCTGTTTAGCTTCACTTAAATTCTTTCCTGAATTCCTTTAATCCGGATGTCCTCTGTTCTTTTTTGGTGTTAAATCAGATAGTTATTTTCATCTCCATTCCTCGTACAATTGATACATTTACAGGTGAACAGTGGAGTGCTTAGTGTTTGTACAGCTTTTCTTTCTGGCGAGCCTGCAACAAGGTTGCGGTCACAGGAGCTGCAACAACTGATTGCTGCACTTCTTGAATTTATGGCTGTTTGTAAGCGTGCAATCCGTGTGCACTTCAGATTAATTGGGGAGGAAGATCAAGAATTCCACACACAGCTTGTCAATGGATTTCAGTCACTAACTGCAGAATTGTCTCATTACATCCCTGCCATTCTTTCTGAACTTTGATCATAAGATGACTTTTTCCAACGCATTTTCTTTTGTAGTTTTTTTTTTATTTTTGGGTACCGTAGAATGGTTTTCTCTGTTTATAATTGTGTTTCAAAATCTATCTGGTGGGTGTTTGTTCATATGTCTTGGATTCTTTGAATTGAAATGAGAGCTAATGTTATATTTCCTATTTACCAGTTGAGAGTGGTAGTACTATATAACTGTGAAAGCACCTGACTTCCATGAGGAAGTTGGGAATACCTGTCTGTCTGCAACTAATATGTCGCACCTTCCAACTAAAAGATCACATTGTCAAACCATCAATATTAATATTTACATAAAATTACAATAACAACAAAAAAAGAAATTAATCAAAAAACTTTCAATTAAAAAAAAAGAGCTTTTCAAAATTAGTTACCCTACCAACATCTCACTTTTAAGGGCATCTCCAAGAGACTTCAAGGGAAGATCAGATGCCTATGCAAGCTTCAAATGAGCCCATCCTTTTGGGTAAACTTCCAGAAACTTCCGAACCATCACTGCTTCTCTCTGAGTAGACTTGAAGCATTCATTATGCTGCACTCCCAGTGACTGCTCAATATCGAAGATGGTACTATTGTACAGGTCAAAAACCTGTGGTGTGAACTTCCTTTCTTGAGCATTCAATTATATGCTGTCTTTAGCTTCTTGGCTTTGATTACCATATACTTTTATCTTCTTGTACTTGGAGGCACGGTATATCGCTTTCAACGTCATATAGAATAAGCACGCTTTAGGCTGGTCTCAGTCTGCTGGTCTCTGCCTTATATATCATGTTAAAAGTATCAGATTAACTAGAAACTATGATATTCGTTATGGCTATTATGTACGTTGATAAGTGTATTTATTTCACTTGTTTGAGTCGTTATACTAGAATAATTATTGTTATTCTAAATGAATTGATGCTTAATTTTGTATATATTTTGTTTGTTAGGCGTATCTTGATGAAAAACGATGGAAGTTGACAAAAGGAGCCAAAAATTGACAAAAAGGGACTGAATCCGAAGTTTGGGGATTAAATTGCAAAGTATTAATAGTTGATTCGGACCCAATATCAATTATTGGATAAGGTGTTGATTCAATTAGATGGAATTGAAAGCTAAAAAAGCAAGAAGACATCAAAAAGAGTTAAAATGAATTAAGATCAAAATTAAGTGATCAAGGTGCAACAACTGGAAATATTTTATACAGCGCGTGCACGAGCTTCAAGTGGTGGCTTAGTTGAATTCTTGCAATTTTTAATTAATCCTGCATGTCTAATTTTATTATTTGATTGCTTGATCACCAATTGAATATATAATTATTTGTTGTAGTGCTGCGAGACTCGAAGTAAATTTAGAACACTACTAGATTAACATGCATGCAATAAATGTTAGGAATAATATTTATCACACGTGCAATTTGTGAGATAATTGTGAAATTGAATGCATTTTATTCATTCGAATTCGGACTAGGAATAGATTCGGGTCGTGACTAGGATAGATTTAATTTCTTAGAAAAGAAAATTAATCACACTAGAATTATCAATTGACAAGAATGCAAGAACAAAACTAGGTACATAATTGAAAATTGAAATAGATAATAATAGGTGGATTCGTAATCCAATACATTCATCTCATTCATATGCAAAACTCTAATTTTACAAGTTTTAGTAAATTAATTGAGAATGATTAAAAATCACATATATCTTTTGTTTGTTTACTTTGAATCTAATTAAAGATTAGTACACTATATTAAATTTTATTCCTAATTCAACACGTATTACTTGTCAACGATTTTGCACAGGATTCGCACGAACACACATAAAAGGAGATTTACCTTCTGAACTATTGGTAGACAGGTCTGCGACAATCAAGCCTTCTCTTCTTGGTGTCCTAATGATTAATGAATATGTCATTTCCTTTTATTTATTTATTTATTTTTTTTTTTTTTTGCGTTTTGATGTAAGTACCTGCCATTTGATTAGATTACTCTAATAGGGTAATGAAATATTAATGAATATTGAGCTACTTTCTCCCAAGTTTTCTTTCTACGGCCATCACAACTAGTCTCCTAGTACCACAAATTCATAATAAATCTCAAAATCCTGGCTTTTTCCCCACAGATATAAAAATATGTACTTTCAATTATGCTTCTCTTTAAATCTCTTGCGTATATTTTATTGTTGGTATTACTTTCATCACCTAGGAATTCTTGTATACCGACTTTGCGTGCTTTCGATAACTGTTGTAATGTGATCCAAATTCTAGTGGGTATTGGAGTCCTAGTTGAAGTGGTCTTGAAGAGATTAAAATTACGGATCGGGAAGAAAAGTCGTCGCATTTTCGTTAGCTTGCTGCTAGATGGCCGCTTGAGCGACATCAACAAATTTTCAAAAGAAAGTTCTCGCCCGCCTAGCGCTCGAGGTGCGGGACTGTCGCCAGCCGTCACTCAGGTTATCCGGCCCCACGCATTTTTCGCATTTTAACACGTTTTGGACTTTATTTTTTTTCAACTTGGTTTTGTAGGGTTATATATATATATTGGGGAAATTTACACCGATTACGTGTATATTATATTCACAAAAGTATACCGATTATTTGCGTGAAATCGAAACATAATTTCGACTTACCGAAATAGGATTTGAGAAGCAAAACATAAAAGTTACCGAATCTGAATGCATGGATATGGATTCATTCCTTTCGATTCTTGAACGAAAGCAAATTATTCTTTTGATCAAACCTTGCAACATAAAGGTGTAAACAATGTTAATCATTTCCCGAAATCAAAATATAATAAAAGAAATCAAAAAACTGTAGGAAAAAAGATACAAGTGATGAATTTTTGGTCGAGGCAAGTGTTTGATACTTAGTCCTTAAGATGAATTTGCCCCGCATCGGTGCTAACGGTTTTTCGACAATCATCTCCCAAAACGCAACGACCACGTCAAGCCATAGGAGCACTCCAAATGGTTTCGACCAGCGAACTCAAACGGAATTCCCTCTCTACCAACGAAATGCATGAAAATGTTATGAATTAGAAAGGAGAGAATTGCAAGAGGAGAATGGATGCTCAATGCAATTGGTGTACCCAAAATCATGTCCATAGGGTTCTATTTATAGATGTAGAAATGGTGCAAATGAAGTAGTGTGAGCCAAAACATGCACATTTCGAAAAGTTGCAACACTTCTTTTCTTCCAACTTTAGTCCGCAATTTCTCATTCATACGGAATTGGTTTCAAGATTCCAAATATACCACGACGATCTACTCGACGAGTAGAATAAGTTGGTCTATTTACTTTTGTAATTTGACCATCGGATCAAGTCCAAATATTTAGTCAAAATTGACACTCAGTCACACTTTTTCATTTTCAAATTTTTGCACACCTTTTCATTTAATATTTGAACCAATTCCTACAATCTCCCACATGAATGGAAATTTAGGTACGAATATGCAAATGCGATGATATGATGCAATGTAGAGAGGGTGCGAAAAAATACTGCATTAGGGAAGGTAGCTTCTGGCCTTGAACCTCCCTTAGTGAAATACCATCGGATTTACTCGGCTAATTGGTGAACGTGATGTCTTGAACCATTCAGCCTTTAGTGTAAGCCAAGACAACAATACTCACACAGATGCCTTTTCTAAACCATTTATGGTTCTCATGACTTGGTTCATTTTGACCTTGAACACTTCTTGGTTCTGCAAGTGTTTAGAGAATTCAAGCCTTGAATAATTCTCATTGAAGCGGCCCCACTTCACACTTACATAGGTAACCTCCTATTAAGAGTATTCTGCCCTACTCCATTTGACTTAATCAAGATATATGAATCATTAAAAGATTATCTTAACCTCTTACAACTCTGCAGAAAGTACTTTAATATCATAGGAATGAGTTAGGAAATTATTTTCCTAAGTGCTTCGTGGAATCCTCATAACTTAGTTGTCCCTTTGAACCTAAATCTTGGGATTTCCAGTCAACAAGTTAGGGTTACCATTACAAGGACTCTAACGTAGTAGGCTTCAATCACATTCCCTTCGATATGCAGTCTTCTTGATCTCTCTTAGTAAATCTCTTTTACAAGTACCACGAGTTTACACCATTGAGATCAACTATTTAATGGTATTATGTCTATGACTTATACATCTAGATCTACCATTACATGTGACTTAGTATCTTATCAAATATAGCTAGCCAATGATCGATTCATCTGATAGATACAAATTATCGCCACCAAAAAATCCTCTCATGAAGCTACATGCTTTTTATTAGCTTTATCTAAAGCTTAATTAAATCCAAATAACACTATTAGAGAATTTCTATCTAACACTACACTAGTCAATTACTTTTACCAGTGGATTTCAGAATCATGGGTACTCAATATCATCATTGAAACATTACTGTGCATTTGAACTTTATGAATATTTTTCATATATTCCAATTATTCTTGCATGTCTAAACAAACGCCATAAACGGCTTTACAACCCATTTTATCCACTTTAAACTTAATATATATCATTCTTATAATTAGTATAAGGGTTTTCTATCTTTTCACCTTCATAGATATCGTTCTGTGATTAAAAGATAGAAGCAAACGTAACTGTTAAACTGAGTTACCTCCACAATTCCTTAATTAAGAATACATATGCAATCTAGTAACGTTGCATCCATAAGTTTTAAACTTTTCATTCAAGTTCATGAGCATTTATGATAATCCCTCACATCTATGAGTTACAATTGAACTTAGGGTTTAGCAACTCTTTCATAGTTCAATTTATTTATCTCTTGATAATATCTATATCGAGTGCTTCATGAAAGTCTAAATACTTTCAAAACAGTGGTCATTGACTCACAATTTATTTCGATTAAAGTTGCATATAACGTACTTCAATTCAATTATTTTAATTTGATTATTCAAATTAAATCAAGGCTATCATATAGACCTGCAATGCTTTCAAAACATATACCAACTTAATTGGTTTCATGATTGAAGTCAAATTCAACAATAAAGAGGGCTAAGCATTGCAACTTCTTCAAACATATGCAACTTATCGCATTTGTGACATTTCACATGTTAATTTCATTTTAACCATAGGCTGAAAAGTTGTGTTTTCAAAAGACACAATCCTATAAAAGAACGCACCTCTTGAATTAATCTCTATAAAGAGACACACCTA